CTTATCATCATACCTACATGTGATGGTCATGGGCCAGACAGATTTATCTCCATGGACCTTTTAAACTTCTCCAGCAGACACTTGGCTCCTCTTGGTTCTTTTAGGGTGACAGAGCGCTACCTCGCTTTGTGCTGTGCTGGCTGCGTTTGCTGCACAGCATGCTGCAAAGCTTATTGTAAAGGGTAATTCTGTCTGAAGGTGCTCAGGCTGAAGGCAGACTTTTTATTTTGTTTTGTTTGTTTCATTTGTAACCTCATTTCTTGCAATTTTCCCGGAGGCTGGCTCCCTGGCTTTTCAGATGCTAATTTATCACAAATTCTTTCATGTTTTTTTCTGCCTCCGACTATGGAATTTTGGAGTCTTCTTTTCTTTAAAAACTCGGTACATTTTTGTGCGATGTGCCATGAGCAGTTTTCGTATTTCTATAATCATTTGACAACTTCCCCTGTGTGAGGTGATGGATGCTGTTAAACACAAACAGTGCTTCCCTCTGCTCCTTGTCAGGAAACACAATTGTGCTGTCTCTTCCTTTGCACTGATACCATGATCTCAGACCTGAAGTGAAGCTTCGATTAAATCTCTTCTTGGCTTTGAAGTTTGTAACAGGCCAATTCACCTGTTCAGCATTTTCTCTTGTTTTTTGTTCCTTGTACCGTGTGACTGATGATTTGTCTGGACCAGAGATGCTTTTCTGCCTGGAGACCAGTTTTGCTCTGCTGTAAGAGAACATGCAGCTGCCCTTTAAACTCATCTTAGAATATTTAGAAATGCAGGTTTGGAAGACAGTGAGAGGTCAGCATAAGCATCATTTTAAAGTAGAACCTCTGACTTGAGCTAAAAGCTTGTTGTTTTCTTCATGTATAATTGAAAATAATCTAGATTTGAGCTGATGGCCTTAAGTGAATCTCAGTGCAAGGAAAGTCAACATAAAGCGTTCTGTGCCTTGGCTCTACATGCAGTTGGTTACTTGCTGTGCTAGACTGCAACAGGTTCACAGTTGCAGCTTACAGTTTTTGCATTTTATCATCTCCTCTATTACATGGAGAAGCTTGTAGGTTTCCACAAGAGAAACTTGTTTGTGTAAAATCCTGAGAATTTTTGATTTAATGGAAATTGAACTGTATCACAGCAGTAAAACCTAACGCAGGGCAATGTGCTCATGCTAATTCTGGCAGCCGACTCCATTTTAGCTTTCTTAGAGCATATCTACATGTCCTGGCCAGACTATACTGCACCTGCTCCATCCATATGCTGAACTGCCTGGCTGCAAGCAAATTCTTGGCTGCCAGTCAAGTGTCTGCACTAGGCTTGGTGCAGAGCTTCGCCGCCTGTCCTGAGGACAGTTACATAAATTAACAGAGCTCTCCTCAACCCATGGCCTCTTGCAGTTGCCCAGAGAAGGGCTCCTCTTTGCACAGTGCCGTTAACTCGCTGCAGTGGCTCTGGACCTGTATGGATGTGTGTGCCGCTGATGGGTAGCCCAGGTGGGCCGGAGCCCTAGCAGTGCCCAGCTGACTGCAAAGAAGTTCCTCTGTCATATCCTTCTTTGGTCTCCCACATATCGAATCCTCGTAAGCCCTGGTTGACAAATGTAGGCTCATTTTATTACTAAGTACACTTAAAGTACAGCACACACACATGTTGGCTTTGAATGTGGGTGAGCTCCACCTCAGGGCTGTACTAATACACAGTGCCCTTCTTGGCCCACAGCTGGCTTGTATTAGGGAGTCAGAAGGGTTGGTGGAGGAAATTTGCGACCGCCTCTGAAACCTGCCTGTGCAGATGTGCTGCTAGGGACTGGGTTCCTGCAGGCTGGACGTTGTGGTGTGCACCCTTCCTCCCTTTTCCTCTTTGTCTGGCTAGTCCTCATTACTTAATTCTTCTTAGGGGGCTGGGGAAGGAAGGAGGCCAAGGGAGCTGCTTGCTTTTGCTTTTCTCCATTTTGAAAAAGGCAAAAATGATACATGCAATAAAATTCTGGTAAATGGAGGAACAGACTTACTGATTAGCAAATTTTTCTTCTGAAAAAAAGAACGCACTGAAGGTGTTGAACGGCAAGGAAGGACGGGGCTTCCAGAAGGTGCTCAGAGCTTCTGCACTGGATGCTTAACTTGCAGGTAGGGGAGCTCTGGCTCTTCCACGTCAGAGCCAGTGCTGCAGAGTTGCAGGAGGTAACCAAAATCTGAGTCCCACAGGTCTCTCTGGAGACACCTGCAGCCTTAGGACAGAGACTGATTTACAGAACTAAGATTTCCATACCTTTCCACAAGTATGTTATGCTGTGAACGTACTATTTAAATCCTTCAAAGACTGTTAAAAATAACAGACACTATTTAAACCAACACACTTTGCCTTCAACACAGTAAATATGCCTGCTGTGCTAATCCTTACCAGCAACAGATCTTTGGTAAGAGTCATGAAAAATGCAAGGATTAGCAGTAAGACTCCAAGGTAACTGGTTACGTGGAATCAGTATGTGGAATTCAGTGAAACAAATAGATTCAGCAGCAAATGAAAGCTGAATTTTCCATACTAAATGAAAGAACACATGAGGCCTTTCTACTTGTAATACCATAAGTATACCATGTGCTTCCTGTGACATATTCCTTGTTATCTGTACACAATCATTCAAAGAAAAATCTAAGCTACAGAAGCAGTTTCAGAGATCTGCCATTGTGTTGCTTTCTTGGTTTAGTGGGCTGATATATGGACCGTGTGAAGGAGTTTATGTTTCAGAAATAAACGTAAAAAAAATTAGTAATGGCATTCATTGTACAAGATTCAAAGAGGGAAAAATGAAAATTAATTTTGCATTAGGAGTAAGAAATTTACATGTAGTACTTTTCTAAGTCAGGTATTTGAAGGAAAGAATTGTGTGTCAAAAATTCAAATAAAATTTGTAGTGAGTTATAGTGTAAATCAAAAAAAACGGACTATTCTATGGTGTCATCATTTGCAGAAATACCAAAGAGTTTGTCAGACCGCTGCAACATCCTGTTGATGTGACTAGTGCCAATACTGCTTGCAAAAATTTAGTGGGTTCAGGCTCTTGTGTCCTATTGGGTAACAGAGGTTGGGAAGGTTATGGTGACAGCTACTCTTCCACAGCACCAGCTTGACACTTGCAACTCAGCCGTGACTCTGAGGGATTGACAAGAGTTTCCATATGGAAGTGAAGCTCTTTCAAAACAGAGTTGCCCAATCTAGGGGAGAATATAATACCAAAAAGGGTCCTACAAATATAAAATCATGTTATAAGCAAGAAAAGAGCTAGTTCAAGCTGACAAAAGAAAAAAAAAAAGCAGTGATTTAAGCTACAAAAAGAGTATTTCACATTCAATGACTGCAAAAGCATTCTAAATTGTACAGGAAAAATGGACAAAATGACCTTCAAGAGAAAGATCCTGATGCTTAACTATTCAGTCCCAATATTACTAATCAATACTGCTAACTGTGTAAAGCTGGTAACTTCATACTTTCCTAAATCACATCTACTTTAGGACTTACTGTGACTGAACGGAACTGGCACACCAGTGGCACTATATAGTATCACCCATCCTTTGCCTTTGGTAACTCAAAGATGATGAACTTTTAGGAAAAAAAAAAAAAAAAGCTTATTATTGCTTGTCACAAAACAGTACAGTCTGTAAAGAAGTAGCATTCAATGCATGCAGCTCTGCTGCTCATCTGGAAGGAAAAAAAAGTGCCATAAAGCATCATCTGTCCAAAGGATGAAAAGGTTTGGAGAATCTCTTGAGATTTTTATAACCAAACAATGCCTCCAGACCTGACTCATATCCACCAATATGAGCCCTTTTTATTAGGTAGCCCTAAAATGCGTACTGCTTCAGATTATGAAAGGTTGTGCGCTTGGCTTGGGGAATTTTGGGTACTGAGAAGAGCCTGTCTGTGGTGCCCAGCTTTGTGCGTTACTCCACTCCTTGGCTCCTGTGACTGACCAGAACTGGTCACCTTTCCACACAGCGACCCTCGCTTCCCTCACCAGGTATATTCACTGTGTCTGGCCAGGCTTAGTAACCCTGGGCAGCAGGTATGCCTGCTCACCGGCTACACTTAGCTATAGCAGTAACACCTGTTAAATTAATGGGGGCTGATATGCTACTGATAAAAGAGCAAATGTATTTTATAAAGTAAGATTATTTACTATTTATAAATAGAAATTATGAGTGCAAGTTGTGTGCGCTGTGTGTTTACACTTACCTAGGCTTGCTGTGCTGGAATAGAAACCAAGAGAAAAGTCATCTGGAAGCATTTCATAAGTGTGTACCATATCCACGTGCTTCTGAGGAAAGCAGCAGACTGTAATTTGTGCATGAGAGCAGAGTACTCCAACAAGTTGGAGAAACTCTTGTTTCTCTCCAACATTTTTGAAGGTGTTATTACGTGCATGTCAACACCTGGTTGCAAAGCAGAGGCCGTGGGGGTTGCCCATGCAGAATGCGGGCAGAACCCTGTGTTGCTGTAACACATTCGCGAGTGCTGAACCTCTGTGTCTTCAGAAACTTCGAACACAAAGACAGGCGTGGAAAAAGGACCAACCTAAGACTTCAAAGCCCAGAGTTTTAATGGGTGACTACCAGTTTAGAATTGATTCTTCTTTCTGGATATACTTACCAGGTATGATTAGGAGACTAATAACTGAATAAGCTAATGGGAATTTGTCCATGCCTTTTGCACACAGTTTAAAAAGTCTATGTCGTGGGCACTGCATAAATAATTTATATGTGTGTGTGCACTGTGTGTACAAATGCATTATTAAACATAAAAGCTAAACAAAAGCCTTAAGAACATATTTAAAAACTCATGGCATACTTCATAAATGATTTTCTAGGATAAATTATATTTTTAACTAATCACTTCAGTAACTGAAGTCGTCAGTGACCTTTTAAAATGACTATACATACACAGCACACTGTTAGAAGAATATTGATTTTTTTCCCCCTCCATTGCAGGCAAAGTTTAAAGAATGAGCTTTCATACTGAGGGATAATTAAGCTTGAATTTTGTTTCTTAAAGGTTTAGTATTACTGCTTTTGATTACATTATTTTTAACTGTTAAAGTTCAAGCAACCAAGCAAGTAAATGCAGAAATTAACCTTTTTATTATATTATATACTGTAGTAGTAAAGTTTGTTTGAAGTGCATGAATAAAAAGTTAGTGAAATTACAGGAGGAACAATCTAATATAGCAATAATAGGTGCATTCACTGTGCATCTGAGAGGAGGAAGAGGGGAAAAAAAAAAGAAGAAAAAAAAAGAGTTTTCACTCATTTTGGCCTAAAACATTGTGTTCAGGTTTCCAGGATTCTGACATCAGAACCCAGATAACGCTGATTAGAACCATAGGGCTTTACAATAAAAGCTAAAATATTGACCATATGATGGCAAAAAAGTCTTTATTTGTGGTTAACTTATTCTCTTCTAGCTACTCTCTGATGAAGTTGGTGGTGCTGTGGAGGAGGATCTCCTTCTTCTTGACAAAGACCGTGATCGCTCAGCACTGTAGGCAACATGCTTATCGTAATTTTGTATCTGAGCCTCGAGGAAATCCCTCTGTTGTTGGCTGATTGTCTGGCTAATCAGTCCCGGGAGAGCTTGAATGCTACCAATTAAAGTTTCCAGTTTAGTTTCCAGAGTGACAATTCTCTTCTCAAAGTCTTCGCTTCTTTCATTTAAGTCAGAAATCATGTCGTACATGATGTTTTGAGTCTGAAAGCAGAAGGATGGAAGCAAAGGTTTAGAGAGCTCTTGCAACATTGCAAGGTTCGGAGCAGCCTTACAATGGTTCCTAGGTGATTTTACACCTTGCAAAACCAGATATGAATATCAGAAAAAGACCTAGTTTTATGAAATAATTTTACTTGTAGATTTAAAACAAAACTTTCTATTGGTGCAAAATTTTTGAACATAAATATAACACTGATATTTTCAGTAGTATTTCAAATGGCAAGCTCTTAATGAATTAGATAAACCTTTTCAGAACTTCAGGTATTTAGAAATGCACTATCATAAGATCTGTGAACAGAATTAATTGTATACATTGTGAGGAGACGAGAAGTTGGAAAGGGCAGTGATATGCTCTTGACTCTCCTGTACTTCCTCTAATTTTTTAAATGACTTGATATTTTTAAGCAAAACAGTTTTCCTTGTTTTCTCCTTAGGCCGCGCATGCTCCACTGAACTGGTTGTAAAATCAGAGTAATGGGGTGGACTCTTTTGAAGTGTGGAGCAAGAAGTAAAGCCTCAAGCGTCCATTTCTCTGCTTCCCTCATCTATCCACCCTCCGAAAAAGCAGTGTTTGTTAATGTAAAGTAGGCAGGCAAAGCTTAAAATGTGATAAAGATCAGTACAAATCTAATATAAAATGTTATTATTTCATGGAGTCTGCCACTTTATATTCTTTTGTTTCTATTTGTTTTTCTTGCTGTTGATGTGGCTAAAAATGACTGAATTTCTCCCTATTGTAGCCTAGGACTTCAAACTGGACTTCAGCTGAGGTTAAAATAACTGAATGTAATGCCAGACACACTGGCTTAAGTTTATAATCCATTATATGGGAATGAAAAATTAATTGAATGACTGACTACCTGAAGTGCAGGGAACTGAAGTATGAGATGAGTGTCTATAATCCATTTCCCTCTCCCCTGATTCAAGATGCTACCATAATCCTTGAAGGCAAATTAGTCTACATGAAATAGTATCAGAAAAGTCCTTATCAGTTGCCAGAACAAGCAGAGTGAAATGTATTTTCAGCAACTGAGGCTAAGGTAGGGGGTTTTCTACAGCAAAACATCCCACAACTGTGTCTGTTCTTTGCCTTGATGATGCATTTGAGATTGTGCTTTGGGGATGTCTGAAGACAGGTGTATGAGGAACCATTAGGAAAAGTATACAATGCTTCTGATGATACATCACATAAAGTCCGTACAAAGTAGCTGTTAGGTATTGGTACTCTCATGTGAAGCCCAAAGAGCGCTCTGTTGCCTGTCTCATTACCATTTTATGTTTAAAGTACAACAACAAGCAAGCAGTTTGTGCTGAAATAGCACTTTCATCTCAAATGGCTTTCAAAAGATAAGTCTTTATCAGGAAAGTGTCCAGTTATTATTCATTACAAAAACATGGTAAGAATAGAGATTTAGTCATATAAAGTCAGTCACTTCTTTACAGAAGAGCTAGTGGGGAAGTGGAGAAACCGTGACTTTGGTCTGTGTGTCTGGAAGAGTCGTGCCCCACAGCGCAGCAGTTCTAACTGGAAAGGAGAGTCCCTCATAGCAGGGCTGTTCACAACTGCTGCCCCACCACCGTTCAGCCCCAGCACTTACCGACACTGCAGCTGCTTCAGCAGCTCTTGGGATCAGCCCATACAGGTAAGATTTTTTTTTCAAATATTCAATAAAAAACGCATTTGAACCTTTACCAGTGTTGTAAACACAATGTTTCATACAAGAAATATTAACCCAGAAGAGATATATATTGATAGTTGTAGCAAGAGAAAAGTTAACAGTATTTACATGTGCAATACATAACACTTTCACTTACGCTATCTTCACTTTGACAGGATGAATGTTATTGCGAAACAACAGTTAAGTGTCTACTAACCTTTGCCAGGTCCACCAAAGTGTTGGCTTGATCATTCAGTTTCCTTTGTTCCATTTTTACGCTTCTTAACCTAAAAAGTGGAACTTTAAGTCAGATTGTGTGGGTAGCTCTGGAGTTGTCATTCTAAAAAGCATGCATAAAACTTACAAGGACAAAGAACCGCATGGACAATGCCCGAGTACTTTGTGTAAAGTCAGAATTGGTCATGTGTCTGGTACAATGAGAAGCATGCTTCTTCCACACCGCAAAAAAGAAAGAGCAAGAAATGTGATGTCCTTGAGACTACTGTTTGCCATGGTTAAAGTTGAATTCAAAAAGGGAGGTAACAATTTATCCAGGCTACATGAAAGAAAGCCAAAACATTCCTCAAAGCCTCAGTATCGTGACAAGTAGATATAGGAAGAAACATGGAACAGAGGATTTTTGTCATTAATTTTGCAGTGGTTGAATCTTCCCATGCCTACATGACTAGATACAGGTATTAGTCCTGTTCAGTCAGAAATGGATTGGCTTAGCAGGTGTTTGAACCTGATGGAAATACAGTGATAAGTGAGTTCTCACTAATTTAACAGAACTTTCATCTGACCAGCAGCTAAATAACCAAGGTACTTGCCAATACATTTGATTTCCTTAACATTCTGTACATAGCTTCTAAATCTCAATATGATTATATTTTAAATTTACGTTAGACATACCCTTTCGATGCCCTATTTAAAAAAATATGTAATAATTGAGTGCATATTTTATCTTTGATGTTTACCTAAGTTCATTATGTTGTGCACGTTCTTTGAAAGATACATGCACAAGCTTCTCTTCATGTTCTCTGAATTAAACTCCATGCTTTTCATATTAACTTCTATTGGATTTGGTTTATATATGTAATTTTCAAAAAGAAGCATTTTATCTCTCAAGTGAATTAGTAGTCTGTTGAACATTTTCCAACAGAGATTAGACTATCAGTGACTTTTCTAGTGGATGTTCTGAGCAATAGATAGCATTTTTCAAAAACAACATATGAATTTATAACACATGGATGCCATGTACTCTTCTAATATGTCAAGGGGCCACCAGGTAGTTAGCTTTCAAATGAAAATAATGGCAGCATTTTATGGCATGTGGGTTGCTGTCTTACAAAGCAAATGTGACTTCACAAAAGCATATACAACTGTTCTTGTAAAACAAGAACTGCAGCTAGTGGTGGTGGTACACAAGAGAGCTCCTTGCCTCTACCTGCTTGTGTCGTGCGGTCGTGGCAGCTAGAACACTCTCCTTCTTCACTTTAGCCTCTGCCCACATATGGAAAATCCTTTTGCCTTCTCTGCATTTGGAATAAATGGGGGATTAAATTCTGACCCCATTTAAATTAATAACAACTGGCTAAAGCTTTCAGAAGGATCAGGATTATATCCTTAGGCTTCTGAAAGCCAATTAATCTGTTAATGTTCAATCAATTGACATTTCCATGATAGCTATAAATTATTTTAAATCACAGGAGTCCTATTCACTGATGCTTATATTTTTATACTAAATTGGAGAAAATGAATACAAATTACCACTTAAATCTTGAGAAGCAGATGAAGGCTGGTAGCTTCAAAAGTGCATTAAGCTTTTGTTGTGTTTTTTGTTTGTTTTGTATACATATATATGTAGATGTAAATATATACATTTCTAGTTGTCTATCTATCTAAATAAATAAAAGCCTTCTGGGAGATGCTCCAAACTCAGGACACTTGTATTCAGATCTTTAGTCACCAAATATTTGCCTTTACATCTAGGCTAACTTCCATGACAAAAGTAAGTTGTGAACAGTGAATGTGTAGAAATGACTCTGTTAATGTGAACAACTGATTTCTACCTGACGTTGACATTCCAGCAGCTTGCTACTGAACGTCATCCACATTTTTCCTTCCCCTGGAGGCTGCCTCCAGAGCACCCTGTGTATGTGGTTTGTAGAAATGGTGCTTTCAGGAGCTATGCGCTGGAGCTGTTTTAAAGGAAAAAGCATGGAGCATCTCTAAAACATTTTGCAGGATATATACTTTCTGCTTAAGAGTCTCAGAATCATCTTTTTGCCAGCTTGCATGCTGTCTTCTAAAATTTTGAGCAATCTGTTATCAAAAGCGGTATCTGCTGACAGTTTGACAGTACCTAATGGTAACCAGCCCAAAACCTGAACAGACTCTAAAAACGTATCTCCAGGTAATGGCAAGCCTTTAGCTGCAGCAGCCAGATTACAAGAAAAGTAGCCGACTTTTTTCTCAAGCTCATTAAGACAAAATATGAAACATCCTGATGTTATGAACTTCACTTATCACAGCAAAAGATCATGATTCTGGATCGCGTTTCCATGGCAGCAATCAGACCATAGAAGTTCACAAATAAAGACTCTATTTTTTTTGCATGCAGTGGTAAATTCTTCAAATTTAGAAAGGAACAGCTCATACAACTTACTTCCGAGCTCTATTTTCATTTTGTTGAAATAAAAAGACAAAACAAAAGAAAACAAACTGTAAAATATACTAAAACAACCAACTGAGCACAGTGGGCTCGATTCTGCACGTGGGATGTCCTAGGGACTTTCTGTTGCTTCTATGCAGTCACTGCCTCACGTGGAGTCTAATCGGGTTGCATTTACAACAAGGGGACTTGCAGTGCATCAAAACCTTCCCAAAAGCTATCAGCTGTAGATGTTCTTACTCACACAGTACATAAAAATGTAGTATTATTGTTCAGAGTGCTGATCACCTTCACCTTGTTTATTGTGCTTGAGTAGGAAAAGACTCAGAGCAGCAGAAGGTAGCACAGTCACAGGCAACATCCTCAGACCACATGGACTGAGAATTTGAGACTGTTACTGTGCCCAGCTACGGTATCTTGTATAAAGCTGACTCTGAACTTCACTC